AACACATGACAGCGGCATGTTGAGCCAGGTGTTAAATAACACTGCAATGCTCTGTAGCACATAGAGCATTATGTCAGGACTGAGGTGTCCGTGTGGGTTTACCAATGGTCGCCTTGTCAGTCTCGATCTCAGCCAGCAGATCTCCTTCGCTCAGCTTCTCTCCCAGCTTCTTCTCCCAGCGCTGCACTGTTCCCATCGTCATGGTGGGAGAGAGGGCGGGAAGTGTGATCTGTAGCACACACAAACGTGAACAACAGCAAATAAGGCAGCAGCAATAGCAACCTGGACAGCTGCATGTGAGCCCTCAGGTCGGCACTGCAAATACAGCTAGAAAAAAAAAAAAGGTCTTCCAAACAGAAGCGACCACAAACAATCACAGATGTTTCCACTTTTTGCAAGCAAGGAGCTACAAATTCTCTTTTTGCTGCTGAAATCACTGACTCACCAGAAGAACTGCTACTACTCACATTACCACATTATTATAAATTACCATGACAGCATAAGTTCGACTAGAAGAAATATGGAATAATATGGAATATGGATTTTTTTTTAAATGTTTTATTTACTTACTGACAAAAACTACAGGCACGAACGTTCAACCTACTTTCTGAATTATTCCACAGCACTAATAGCTTAATACCACCAAATGTCACCAAATAACTCCATTCTGCTGCTCTGATACGAAGCTGACACACAACGAACCTTGTCATTTACATTTAGTCATTTACCTGACTCTTTTATCCAAAGCGACTTACAATTGCTATGTACAGTATGTCAGAGGTCGCACGCCTCTGGAGCAACTAGGGGTTGAGTGTCTTACTCAGGGACACAATGGCGGATGTGTCGCAGTGGGTCTTTAACACCATAGACATGTGTCTTATCCACTGCCACCCCACAGACTGAACAGCCCCGATGAAACTACAAAAGTGGCTACAGAAAGCTGTGGCCATAAACATCCTCTACTGGATTCGGCTACGACTCCGCACAGGACTGCACTTATGGGAAAAGACCCTTACCTTCATGTGTGTGGGGTAAGAGCTGCCCGGGGCTGCAAGAGGTGCTGCAGCAGCAGGAGAAGGAGGAGGTGGTGGAGGAGGAGAAGGGGAGGCAACTGGTGAAGGACCGGCTGCTTTAATTGACTCCAACGTTACGTCCTTAAAGGCAGGGATGAGATCAGGGCTGCAGGGGAACACACACACACACACTTCAACATTGGAGGGGACACACATTAAGCATTAAACACTTTATTTCCTGCATTCTGGTGAATTTTGAATTCTGAACCAATTTCTCCTCCTGGTGGGAACGTCTTCATTTATGTAAAGGGAAACACAATTCAGACAGCAGGTGACAATTCAAAATATAAGTGGCCCTAATACTCCATTGTACTCACAAACTACAATTCTACCTTTCGGTTTGTATTATCTTCTCGCTAATTTGCAGCTGACTGTTAACCGTTTGTGACCAAATACACTGAGTGACGCTGACGGACAACAGTGGTTATTTTAAATTTTTTTAAATCAAAACAGTTGCTAGGGACAACTCAGTAGTCGCTGGATATTGGTAGGGACACGTCATTACCTACTGACATGTCCCTGTATACACACAGTTATTAGACGTATATTTACACAAAGCAGACCCACAGAACCTCTAGACTAAAGGACCAGAAATTGTGACATGTTTGGTTCTGAAACAATACTGGTAAGTGTCAAACTTCCGATTCCAGCTGACAATTGTCCAAACTACAGTTCCTTGACAAAGACATGTGGGAATAACACTTGGTGCAGAATAACCAGCTGTTATGTTTAAACTAAATGAATAAACATTATTTGAGTGTGTGATGTACTACTTATCCTGTATTCATCATTGTAAAAGTAACAAAGTGTAAAAACATTTCCAGAATCTGAGAAATAAGGAAGTGATAGGTGAGTAGTGATCCAGTGGTTTTAAATTTAGGAGAGGACTGTAGTAGATTTATTTGAATCAGATGCCTTTTTCACTCTGTAAACTCCTTCCTACAGATGCTTACCTGTCAACAGTGATGCAGATTACTGATCCGATGGAGACATCTCTGGTCCCTTCAGGAACCAAGATCTTTGCAAGATAGCACTCGTCCATCATCTCAAAACCCACAGTGGCCTTGTCGGTCTCCACCTACAAAGATAGAAACTGTTTTACAAAATGTATAGTGATGATTTCCTTCAATAATATGGGAACACATACATGGCTCCTAACCTCAGCTATAAGTTCACCCTCGCTGATTTTTTCTCCCTCCTTCTTCTCCCAGCGAGCGATCGTTCCTGTCTGCATGGTGGGGGACAGGGCGGGAAGCTCCACCTGATGAACAGAAAACAAATTTCAGGAGTTCAAGAATGAAGGAGTCATATTAACCTGGTGGCTAATCAAACACCAAAGATCTCAATTGTCACTTTACAGTATCCTTACCGGGGCTTCATGAGGGACCATTGCAAATATTGTCAACTGTCAGATGTTGCTACATCATCACCTCATTCCCTTGTCCAATAAATGACTCACATACAGCTGCATTTCACCACATCTGTCATGCTTCCAAGGTCATTTACCATCTGATAGCAGATATGCACAAATGCTACCAGTGCAGAGACAGATATAATAGACTGGAAGAGGGGTTCTCAAACAGACCTACATTAAATAAAATTTGTTTCATTTCTTTTTTTTAGCTGCAAGCAGCTACTCCAATTCATTTGTGCACTGCATTGTGGGACAATGGTGTACATCAAATGCAAACTCAAAGTGGGTTTTTTTGATTGTGCATATTGACTTTATTGGAATACTTAATTTTGTCACATTCCCAAGGTGACCACACTACATACTCTGAACTCATAACCTGCTTAAAATTAGCACAAGTCACTCCTGGAAAAACATCTGAGGCAAGACATAAATATGAAAAAAATAAATTTGTCTGGAATGTCTCCATGAACAGAAAAGTATCAGCATCATTTCTATTCACTGACAACAGTCCAGTTTGAGCATGCTGTGACATAAAACCATCGGGATGTGGGTCCAGTTTAGTGAAACTGATGTGTGAAATACATCCAGCTGAGTTTTTAAAATAGACTTTTCTGTTTGGCTGCCACAAACAAAATACATTGTAAAAGACTTATATGACAGCACCCATACTGATTTTGCTGGGATATGAGGACCCTTAATAGTAACTCATAACATACCTTTAATTCATATCAAATTGATTTAATTAGATGTAACTCAAATGCCAATGGGTCAGCTTCCAGTGGGATGACCTGATGTCATAAAATGAATGTGTTGGTGCTCTGAATGATAGCTAAGAAACATGGTGTTTGCTCAATTGACTAAGTTTAAACAGTTGTCTAACAGTGCACCATTTAAAGGACTGACGGGATCTGATTGGTACATCACAGCTCTGGCTAATAGCTCCGGAGGTCATGCTAGCAGTACCGCCGGTGGTTTAACCGGACACCCGGTAAAGTTACCTTGTGATGCGGCGGCAGGCTGTAGAAGCGCTTGCTCTGAACGCTGCCTGTCAGCTGGGGACACCGCAGCAGAATCCCTCTGTGGCTGAAGCCGGAGCCCAGACACACGGTCCGGGACGCCGCTCCACAGTGAAGCCGCCTCAGACAGCCGGTCCCGGGCAGAGAGCGGGAGCCGAACGCAGCAGGCCCGGCTGGGAGGGCACGGGGACGCCGGAGCCCGGCGGACGGCCTGAGCCGCAAGATCAGACGAAGCATTTGGCTGCGGTTGAAACACTACACAGAGCTGCTGAATGATGTGTTAGTCTTACACCGGCATCAGAGATCCGCTGGTACTTAAAGTCTCTGAGCCTCGAGAACCGGCCCGTGCTCAGTCCTCACTTTCTAATGACCTCCTCTCCAGTCTAAAACACAATGCTTTACGGCTCCCCTCCTTCGCCTGTCGTCACTTCGAAAGAGGTGTCGTAAACGGTGGCCGTTCAAATTTCAATCACCATATAATCACCACCACTCTGAATAAAACATAATCAAATACAATTATAAATAAAAAATAGAATTAGACACTTACCCAAAGCCTGGTGGTTTAAACTACAAACTCTTTCAAGAGCTGCAGTTATATTTTACTGCAATTATATCAGCGACCACACAGTGGCAGTAAATTATTTGTACAGTGAATGTATAGCACACTAAACTAACTATCCACTGCTGCCCTTTAATAACCTGACCTGTTCTTCCCTTTGATTTCAACTTAAGAAATAATCTTAGCCCATGTGATTGATAAATACAGTATACTATAAATCTGCAACAATTACTCCATTCATCAATTAGTTAATCAACAGAAAACTAATCAACCACAATTTTGATAATTGAAACATTCTTTTGACTTATTTTTCAAGACAAACGTCACTCTGTTCTGGTTCTAGTGTCTTAAATGTGAATATTTGCTGGTTTCCTTCCTCTTCTTCAATTATTAACTGGATATTTTTGAAACTTTTAGTTTGTTGACAAAACAAGACATTTGAAAACATCACCTTGGGCTTTAAAACTGTTTTATAGACATGTATGCGACTGAATGATTAATTGAGAAAATAATCAACAGATGAATTGTTAGTTGCAGCCCACATACATTCTGCGTCATCTTGTTCCAGCTGTTCATTGAGACTGTATGATGTGTACACTGAGTGAAATATTTAAACCCAGGTGTGAATGTTTTTATTAATGCACCATTTCAACAAATGGAAATATTCTAGACACCTTGTGCATCATTGCACATTTCCCCAAATTCAGCTTGACATATCTGGAATCTTTCGAAACTAAGCTAGAATTTCAAACAGTTAATTGGAGCTGGTTAACTGGAACAATAACCACAACTGAAGAAGCCTCGTGGAACGTCTTTGAGTATCTTTAACCAAGTCCAGTTGCCCTTGATTTTAACCTTCCTTGGATAACAATGACCTGGATGGCCGAGAATCTTCACAGACATCTGGAACAATTACATTAAAAAAACAATTTTTTTGAAAAATTTTATTTCAAAATATGTCTTTCTGACATTCAACAAAGTCAACAGACATTTTTATTTTCTTAAACAGACAGTATCCATATTTTGTAGAGCTTTCAGTAAACAAAACAAATTCTAAATAACCATCTCACCAGCAAATTGTACATTATACAGTACAGGCAGTTATGGCATTCAAATGGGCCGCAGTTAAAGTTAAAAGTAGACTCATGACTGTTGGCTTGTTAGTGAAGGCAAACACATTGATCCCAAATGGGAATATAGAAGCAGAGTGAAGCAAAACGTGTGTGATCGCCAGAACAGTGCAGACCTCAGGAGTCTGAAGAGCGTTTTACTGCATCAAGTAGACCAACCCTAACTGTTGTTCTTCTGGCATTTACAACGTCCATCCTGATGACACACACACACACACACACACACACACACACACACACACACACACACACACACACCATAAATAGTGGGATGGTCCATTGTTCCAGGACAAAAAGAGTCTATAAATCTCTGACGTCAAATTTACATCCACATCATCTTTTTTAACAGGAGCAGAGAAATAAGACACAGAATAAGACACAGAAATTCAAAAATACAGTGAACATCGTTTACACAAATATACAAAACAATTTCATAAAAGCAAACAAAACAACAGTGCTCTTCATCTGCATTTCCACATGAACGTCAAAGAGTCAGTGCCACCTCTACATGCATGCTGGTGTGCTACCGACTGACGCTTAACCCCACATCTGATTTGGGTCCACTTTAGTGAAACTGATTGATCTGATATACATTCAGCCGATACTTTTTTCTTTTTGCAATAGATTGACATCTGTTATATGTAAATAATATAAAACATAGTAACAGCTATGGAAACTGGTATCTGCTCAGTATATTTGTCAGCAGTAGGTCAGAATGTAGACAAACCTAAAACAAAATCAATCTTGTACAATGTTTGCTGACTTTTTCTGTCTTTTGTTTGACAATTGTATTATAAATTTTTTTTCCTATTACTTGCTATGGTAGATAACACTGTATATGTACTTTACATTCACAAATGAATTAAGACCTGTGCTAAAGAACAAAAGGCAATGCACATTTCTAACATGTAATCTGGTGGTATTTGTTTTAAAGACAACATCGCTGCACAAGGAATGAAATGTGATACTGAACACTGACAAAAAATGCATTTTTCCAGTACTTCTATACACACCGCTGACCTCAACTACAAGTGAAACAACAACACTACTGTGGTTTTAGAAACAGTTCACTCAAAACAATGTTTCTGTCTACTTTTGAGTCAAGTTTTGATCCTACAGTTTCAGCATGACAATATAAACCATGTGATGGAAACAGCTTTCCTTTGTAAGGCACTCTAGACGTCACATCCACTGTTTCCAGAGCGAGTAGGTGATTTAATACCAGCTGATCAACCCAAATCTCCTGCTGACAAGTCTTACAGTATTTCACTAATAGTTTGAATCTCACAAAGTGTCCACATGTGCCTCTGTTCTGAACAGTTGTCTTGATGCGCCTCTGGGATCAGAGTGACCAGGAGCCAAAAAAAGTGTCATGTCCCCTCAGCTTGAACCTACAATGGCCTAAGACACAAAAGAGAATGCATTGCTTACCACTGAGAGTCAGGGGGAAAAAAAGAAAGAGATTCAGAATTGACATGTTGTTACCTTTCCTCACCACGGTCCTCTTCTACCCAGGCCACTATTTTTCCTTCCCAGCCTGGAATGATTGCTCCATCCAGGAACACCTGCACACAGACATTAAGGACACATTATCGGAAGTAACAGTAACTACTACTCCAAAACAGTTTTCCTTGTGAATAGCACCAAGTTTACTATCACTATACTATTATCTATGTATCACCTTTTCCCCAGCCTTCTCTTACCTCTTCTTTCACGGTGCCAAACTCAGGGTCCAGGGCCTTGAAGTGGTACCTGTAATTTCCCTCTCTATCCACAGCTGCCTTGACATCCTTGAGAGTCACCTCACCCAACCTGTGTACAACGTGTACAAAAAGACTCACTCATCTGGAGATCTTGTGACATTCTAAATGTATGTGTTAGGATTGTCAGCGTCACTGCTGGCTGGCAACCAACACAGTCTGTGACCATATTTATTTTTTCAGCTGAATTAAGCAAAAAAATGGCAACATACTTAAATGTCTCAGAAAGAAAACACTTCAATACACACACACACACACACACTCTAACCTCTTCGGTATATTAATCATGGAAGGTGTTGGGGATTTTCCAGTAAAGTAAAGGATTTTAGTGGAGGCAGAAGAACCACTGTGCGACTGAATAACCTCTGTAATTAACAACAGAAACATAGTTAGTAAAAGCTTATATATTCTGTGTATGCATGTATGTGTATTTCTTTTGGGGGGAGGGGTTTGGAACAACTTACTTGTGCTAGGCCAGGAGTCAGAGTCTGTGTGTTGACCTTTGCGTATTGGAGATTTTCCCCTTCCCTGTAGCATTTACAGAAATGTTGACCCACCTCATGATTTTAAATCTCTACATTTAGTCAAAAATAATCTATTGAGTAAGATTTTACAATATATATAGTACCTTGTGTGTATGCAGAGCATGCAGCCTGTCTATGAGCGATGCTATGCCCTGCTCCAGGGTGTCCAGCGTATGGTGCTGCGGGTCATGGTCTCTGAAGTTGTTCCTCAAACTCCTAAGTGCATCTCTGAGCAGCTGTACCTCTTCTGCCTGCTAACAGAACACAAAAACACTGTCAAACACAAAAAGCTCCTTTTATCGAGAACAGTTGTGTGCTTGTTTAAAGTATTAAAGTGCTATTTTTTTGAGTATGTCAAGGATGTTCTGTCCTCTGTTAGTTCTTTAACTTAGTATTTAGAATGGGGTTTCTAGTGTTTCATGTTGGTCAGATTATAGTACGTGGCCTAAATACTACGAGAGAATGTGAGAGTATAACTGTGTGATGCTTTGTGATCCCCTTGACACGTAGAACAAGCCCCACTGACTGAACAATAGAAACAATACTTACGCCGGACATAGAGGGAGCTGGATTTCCAGAGTAAGAATATCCATTGTTTTCTGTGCTGGCGGGGATCTGAAAAAAAATGTGTCAGCTGTGTAATGTATATCTAAATTCTGGAGCAGCCTGAATATAAAACCTAAAACTGTTTTTAGTGCACGAAGAGTCAGTACTACCTGCATGTTGTTTTTATGCTCCAATTCTCTTTGCAATTCACTCTGCCAAAGAGACACACAATCAGACATCCAGACACATTAATATAAACCTGCTAGATCCTAAAACTTAAATTATATCTAGTCCATGCCTTAGATTATTAAAGTTTATTGAACAAGTGAAGGAGGAAAAGGGTAAAGGTACATACTATATAGCATAACATATAGCATGCATCAATATGTAATATTTTAGTAGTTAGTATTAAGTATTAATTTGCTAATAAAAGTTTAAGTAAAAAAACCTGCAAAGCAAGACTATAAATGATTAACTAACTAACTGTAATTTCCAGTCATAGCATTAAGCTGGAGAGAACATTTTGAGCCTACTGTAGCTTGTTTAACTCCTGTTTAAAATCCTGAAACCGGCTAACAGACCTGCTTTTTTTGGCTTTCTTCGAGCTTGTGTTTGAGTTGCTGCACTAGTCTGTCCTTCTGTCCGATCTCCTTCTGCAACCAACCAACCAGCCAAACATAGAGAAAAGGGGCGGGTTCGTTATTTAGCACAAACTCAATAAACAGCTGCTGTGTGACATAGAGCAGGGGCAATTAAATTAAGTTACAGCAAAACATTAAAACAGAGGGATTGGAGTGTGTCACCTTGCATTCGCCCCACATCCTGTTAGATTCCTCCAGCTTCCACTGTAGCTCAGCCTGTAACACATTTTCATAGAGGAGGGGAGTTTGCAAAGCACACTTAAAATATACAGCAATTAATGTATACTGTTTTGCAAACATTGTTTAAAGGAGTGTATTGAAGATTCTGTGTTCACTTTAATAAAAACAGACTTGTATATGTATATGGAGACTATTTCGTACATTCTGGTTGTTGACTTCGTCCTTCGTCATGCTGGCTCTGAGGAGCTCTTGCTTCATCTGCAGTATTGATGCCTCCTGAGTGCATAGCCTCTGCTGCTGGGCGTCCTGCACATTTACAAACCAACAGAAAGTCAATACCTTAGTCAGCAACCTCTTTACAATACAACTATAGTAATATTCTACTGAGTAATAAGAGCATAAAGTGCAGATCTAGCTTTGTTTTACCTTGACTGCCTGCAGGTTTCTCATCTCCTGCTTACAGCGCAACAGTTCCCTCTGAAGCAAACAGCAAAGAAGTCACACTCTTCCACACAGTTTATTCTCTCGGTGATAAGACAAGTGTTTCTTTGCCCAAACAAAATTTAGAAAACAATATATTGGCAATTTAAAAAGAAAACAAATGATTTACCTTAAGCTCCTGAGCCTCCTCCATACTCTGATCCAAACGACTGCGAATAACTACCTAGAGAGAAAAAACAGGGATGTGTGTGAGAACCACAAAGGACTGAGTAAGAAGGAAAACTGATACCCGTGTCACTCCTCTGACTCACACACACACACACACACACAGTTAAGAAAAAAGAAATGTGATCTGCGCTAAAGAGCTGATGAAACAGAGCAAAGAGGAGTGTGACACAGAAAAGAAGAGAGAGAGAGCAGACAGAGAAGGATAGAAAAATGAAAAACAAAAAAAAATTAACTACCAGTTGCTGTTCAGCGCTGCCTTGGTCCAAACTCAAAGACAAATCCTGCTCATCCTCAGGCAGCGAACCATGCAGTAGCAGGGCCTTAAAAACACAAAGTGTACAACATGTGACACCAGTTTGTACTTTGGTGTGAAGTCACAGTGTTGTCTGTGTTTTGTGACCAGCTAAAGCAGTGTGACGTGTGTTCATAATGTATAACTAGCACACTACTACTCAAATAGCTTAAAAATGGGACCTAAGTCACGGTGTAAGAAAATAAAGAATAAAATAAGGACAATAATGCCTTTTCTATTTATATATTGATGGTTACCAGAACCCAACTCAAACCATAACATGCTTATAATTACCTGTAAGGCAGACACCATTTTACGTGTCTCCTGCACCTCCGTCTCCAAAGTTTCACTGAGAGAATCCTCCCACGCCGTCTCCACTACAACACGACATGACTCAGCTACATGCACGCAGATGTACGCACACATAAAACACAGTTTTACACACGTCCAGCGATAAATCATGAGCTTTAATAATCAAATGATATGCCGGTGTGCGAGCGGGGCAGAACTCACCGCTGATCTCCTGTTGTTGGTCTGAGAGGCTGCTGGGTGGCGGTCTTGGAGATGACAGCGGACTGGTGGAGCTGAGGCTCGAGGAGGACAAAACACTGATTAATCAATGTATTCCAGAGTAACAAGGGGGTGTACCATGCAAGCAAAAACACATACAAACAGACAGTGTGAGTACAGAATGCTATGTGCTACTACATTTTACTTGGACCTGGCTGGGTGACATCTCAATTTGTTGTAATATACTTGTAGTAACACTCTCACGCAAATCAAACCAAACACATAAAGAAACTGTACAGAATAATGGGGGCGCTATCGTTCATTGATTTCCTTTATTAAATCATTATAGTTTCAGTGAATTTAGAACGCTTATATACATTTGTAAGCAAGCAATAAACAAAAGTAAATCTGTCACTCTGAATAAATGCCCCCATGAAGTCAGTGCTCTCAGTAGCTACAGAAAACAAAGACATTTACCAAAATCAAAGCGGCTGACTGTTTTCATAAACATCTAACTAACGGCAGCTGTTAAACACACAGCATCTCTTGCAACAAATGCTCTTTTTGTTAAAAATCAGACTCACATTCGGACAGAGGGCTTGTAAGAGAGGAAAGAGAGGACAAGCACCACATGACACTGACACATATTTGCTTGAATACACTAACTTGCAAACAGAATCTTAATCCTTGCATGCCTTTGCCAATCAAAACCTATACAGGCGCTACACTTAAATTACACTCTCTTTTCACGTTGCATTACTACACTGTAAAATTGTTCTAGTTGTGGTAAAAGAAGACTTTAAACTCACACACTCTTGCACAGGAATCCACACACGCCTCACAGTGTCTGGTCTTACCATTTTATCTGCGTCCCCCCCATAGTGGGCTACAGGTGGTTTAAAGTGTGCATAATACTCCCAGTGAGTCTCAACTTCCACCCTGCATGTGGGTCTATGGCTTCAGCATCTCGACAAACTCATGGCAGTGTGTGATTCTCCTCACTCTGACACACCCCGCCCCACGCCCTCTAGCTATTCTAGCATGGCAACCAACGCAGCAGACATGGTTTAGCATCTCTCACCACATACAAGTGTTGAGGGTGGGGGGACAAATTTAAAGGAAAAACTTGAATTAAAGAGTGGAAAAACACATCAAATGCAAATGCTTCCGTGCACCAGGGCTCACTGAATGGTTTGGTGAGTGTGAAAATGATGTGAATAAAATCCAGCAGTTTTTACAGTCACCAGATCGCAACCCAGTTTCATACCTATGGAAGATTTTGGGCCAACATGTAAGATAATAATCTCGACCACCTTCACCAAAACCAAATTATATAAACTTAAATTCTCAAATCTATTTAGTGATGTCTGTGACAGTCTCAGATACTATGTCCTTTTGTTATATCTGGCTATGTGTGTTTATCTTTCTATCTGCTGCACTCAGGTCTCTCTTTCAAAAGAGATCTTGATCTCAATGAGATTATAATTAAATAAATGAGGGAATATCATGCGGAGGAACGGTGTTCATCCTTCCAGTAGAGTTCCATAGACTTGGCAAAGAGCACTGAATCTGTTGGATGCTCGTCGTGGCCTGACTTCATACTACGACACTTTATGTCGGTTTTTCCTTTGTTTTTTCCTGTGTGATAGCAGCATTAAATTGTTATGGTCTGTCGAATTGCTGTCTCTCCAAACACAACCATCATCATCATCATTCTATAAATAATCAATGCAGGCACTTCTCTTTCTATCACTATAAACAGATACACACTCTTGTATGCATTCAAACACACACAAACAATGATGCTAAAACAGAACACCACAGAGCATAACTTCAGTCCAGACATGTGATTAGAGAGGATAAAGACTTTCTTCTTTCTATCGTGTTCTTTTTCTCCGCCAGATGTCTATGAACTACCACACACACACACACACACACACACACACACACACACACACACACACACGACAGAGTGAGGTTTGGAATAGTAAAACCGAAGTCAGATGCTTTGTCAGGCAGTACGCCACGCACACATACACACAAATAAACCACAAAATGTAGTCGATTTTTTCCAAAGCTGGTTAAAGCTGGAACTGCCTGCAAAACAGTATAAACAGCCACAAAGTGGAGTTTGTTTTCTCCCAAACACCAAACAACATGCATAATTACATAATTATACCGCTTGTCCCTTAGGCCACTAAACTGCGGCAACCCCCTTCATGAATTTAGGCCAGCAAAGCCATCATGGGTAATCAATGTTTCAGTTTTAGAATTTATTTAGCCTATTATGACAGCCCTTTGTTAATTTAAATGGCACAACATGTTCCAGCCTATACTGAGTATTTGAAGTTTGGCAGTGCCTGTGAGTGTTACAGTTGATTTTACAAAGGTTTTTTTTATGATCTTGTAAATCTGAAAATGAGCACTATCCCTGTCCTTCCTGTTCTGAACCAAAAGGTTAGTTATCTACTGTTCCTCTGAATATATGTCTAAATCTGTCTCTTACATTACATTTAGAATTATGTATACTGTTTAATCTCAGGCAATGTACAGTAAGTGCATTTTATTCCAACTTCAATCCAATTCCAACTAACAATGATTCACTGAATGATACTTTATTTATTATGAGAAACTTGAGTTTATGTAAAGTCGAATACCTGCTAGGCTGAGGATTGCCCTGCTCATCCGGAGATCCTCTTTCATACTGCTCAACCAGCGCACGAACACACACACTCTTTTCCACATCCAGCCCCCAGCCACTAAAAGTTGACAGACAAAAAAATTTTTGTTTTTTTCATAAGTAAGAACTGACATGCAGTTTTCATAACAAATATATAGAGCCTTATACTGTATATCAGCAGTTGTGAGGATGGATTTGGCGATCTGTGTTTGTCCACCAGAGGACAGCAAAGACCACACAGGTATCTAACAAATGAGTGCTGTGGCAGAGAACATACGGCTGTGAAAGAAAGACCTTGGCAGGGGTTTATGGGGTGAAAGAGGTGGAGTATGATTACTGAGGCCAGCGTACCTGTGGAGATGTGGGGCACGTGCAGGCTGTGAGGCATCAAGTCGTGCTGATGCCAGTGTGTCAGCGGCACCTTGTGCTAGTGCAACTGTGGAGAGAGGATTGTGGCTGACGGAGCCTCTTGTCAAACCCCTCCCACTTCCAGAGGCAGCCCTGTTACTGGCTGAGGGTTTGAAGTGGGCAGCCAGTGCCAGAATTATCCTCATTACAGCCTTCAGATTACCATCGACAATGTCTGCAGACAGAAAAGGAACATATGTCCCTCAATATGACACCAAACAGTATTTTACACATATGGTATTGACATGGGATATCAGCCTTATAACAGAAACCATGACATGAGGATTTTTTTATATTGCAAAGAATTTGGTATGAAAATAACTTGTCATGGACATGTTGCTGTTTCCCTGATAAGACATGGCTCGTGCACATGGAAAAATATGGATTTTTTATAATGTTAACACGTGTTTAGTAACACTTTACAATATGGTACACTAAGGAACAAGTGAGGAGCAAATCAGGAACACCCAGATAATTAATGAATTGTTAATAAGTAGTTAGCCAATAACTCTGAATGGAGGGTTATGTAGCAGATAATGAAGATTTACAGGAGAACTGACTGGGAGATACTATGTTAATGAATCATCAGGTAAACAACAAAGAACCAGCTGCTGAGTGGCATAAAACTATTAACAACTAATTACTTAATAATTAGATTAGATAGATAAGATTACTTTTTTCGTGCCCGCCTATAGTGAAGTGATACATCATACTAAGTAGTTACTATGTAATCACTCTTGGTATCTACAGAGTTGTTAAATTCACCAGCAAAAAGAAACAACTCATAAAGAAAGTTGTCAGTATGTCAATTATGTTGTTCCTGATTCGTTCCTCACTCGTTCCTTAACTCACACTTTTGTGTGGTGTAAAGTGCTACCTGTCATTTTTATGTGCTTATTGCTTTGGGGCAGTGCAATACAATAATGACTACAGTATAGGGTCAGCAGGTAGAAAAGGTTAGGAAAACCAATTCTCAAAATGAGGAGAAAGAGAGCAAGAAAACACAGCATTTTCTGTGATTTACCTCTTGCAGATATGTGTGTCATGCGTATGTGTCTGGAGGAAATGAACTGTAAGACTTGCTCCACATTCCTCCGGCTTTCTTCTTTGTTTTGTGGCGCACCACACACTCCCTCTAACACTTCCCCGGCTGTGAACAAAATTTGAGACAGAAAAAAAGATAAATTTACATTTAAACATTTTTGCAACAGTGCTGTGTCATTTCCCAAATGTCAGTCTCTGTGTGAAACGTGTTATAGACATCATTTCATTGGTACCGCTGCTTTTGATAAACCTAACTTTCCACCAATAATGGTGAAACAATAATGATCTGCTCCCAAACCACTTAATTTCCTGTAAAGTTAACAACTAATACTGCAGCACTGCGCGTAATGACTTACAATGCATTCACACACCTGAGATCATTTTTTGCCAAAGCTTTAAAAAACGTTGTGAAGCCAAAAGATAATTTTCCTTTTTTCATTAGAGAAGTATCTTTGAAGGAAAAGCATCCAAGGTAGCCCTCGCTGAAAGGAGAAACATTATTAAGCATATAAATAAGGGCTTATTGGTCAGCCAGTTGTGTAAGTGCAAACTGGTGAAAAATTTGTGTGGGTAAATGTGTACTTACCAACTATCTCTATTAGTTGTGTGAGCACCACCCCATCCTGCAGATCATGTCTGAGGTCTGTGATTGGCTTCAGGCCTGGTTTCCTCTTCAGCTGAGAGTTCACCCAGGAAACATATGCAGCCAGCTGCTGCTGCAATCCATCAATCAGATGCACACAAATCCAATAAACCACAGAAGAACACACAGCTTAGAGTGGGGGCCAAATAAGGCTGAGACCATGGCATAACAAATGAGATCCTTTGTTGATTATGTTGGAGAGGGAGCGAGGGGGGCAGGGGCAGTCTGTTGTCCCACTGCCTTTTAAATTTTACTTTTGTTATGAAGGTCAATTATATAATGTCGTATTCAACATTCTTCCCTTGTGTTTCACACGGTCACCCCACCTTTACCGATCCCGTTCAGTCACGTGACAGCCCGTAGTCCGGGATACGTTACAAAGAACACACCAAAGAACATTTCGCTTAAAGCTCAGTTACGTGATAATGATGTTTGGTTTGTTAACAGCGTTTTAAAAGTCATACTAAAGCTACCGTTACCGGGTTATCTTATTCCTGACAAAGCATTACACTTAACGTTATGGCTAGCGTTAACGCCAACTAACGTTACCTAACGTTAAATTTATAGCCAGAATGCATGTTTTTCCTGCTCGTAAGTTAATTATATATCACCATCAGCATTAACGTAGTTGGACGAATTGCGGAAATTCGTTAGTTCTAACGTTACCCAAAGTTATGGCACTTAATTCATTGCAAGTCTGTTAGGTGTTTAACGTTAGCAAATGTAACTGGTTTCTGTTCGCTAAATTATAGCTAACCCAACTTAACAAACATTAACGATAGTAACGCTTAATCAACGTTACCTCATTAAAGCCTCCATGAAGAACCTCATCCAGCAAACTTCCTCTAGAAAGTGAGGCGATCATCTTTTAACTCGAAAACCCATTTAAGCTAGCTAGCTCGCTAGCTTCACACGACTCGCCTGAAACCACAGACAGACCCCTGTTTCTGGTTACTAGCTACTGCTGTACTCCTGCAAACGTCAACAAACCGAGACAATTGATGGACCGGAGGAGACGGCTGCCCGTTACTCTGGCTGGGACACCGGCGTCAAGTCACAGAAACACAAGGACAAATATTATTTCCGGTTGCATGTTTCAGAATAAAATATTTGACAAACACTTCCGGAGTTCACAGAGTTTGTCAGAGTTTAGATAAGTTTCTCTTTGCCTAAAACATTATGTTAGCAATAAGCAAGCCTATGTCACACAACAGGATTTAGACTTTTAATTTTATAAAGGTATACAAAAGCCACCATTTACAATTTATTTGTTTTCTATAACTAACATAGCATATCAAATTTTTGTAATTAAAAAGGAAATATTATATAGGCCCCGCAGCCATATACGCAGGATAAGCAGTTGACGATGGATGGATGGATGGATGGATAGATGGATGGATATTATATAGGCTTCAGCTACAATTTGGTATTATTAACAAAAATCTAGCCCCAACACCAAAATTAATATATATATATATATATATATATACCATATAATGCAAATTGTTACACTAGCCAAAGATATCAATGATGCCTGTACACATTAGTGAAAGAAGGGCTATATTGTATATCATTATGCACAACAGAAGAGTGGGATAGTGTCATTGAGATAATATGAAGGTGTATCATGTGACATTTAAAACTACCCACAAACAGTGCATTACAAAAGGGGTAATATGATTTTCAGTAGCATAACTGTATGTTTCCCAATCCCTGAAACTTCTGGTATTTACTGTAAAATGTCAGTGTCCACAGTATCTGTTTTAATTTGTGCAGGATTCCATGTCCGACAGGATTACATTGGGTACCTCAATACTTTCATTAGAAGTCACTGTATTATGAGTACCATGAAAATAGTATTACCATCCCATTTACATTTTTGTGTCTTTTCAGAGTTGTTTGACTCCAGTGAAGCAGATTGAATCTAACGACTCTCATCCTGAGGCAACACTCGCAATAAAGTGTTTTCCTTGTTGCCCTTTTATTCAAGATGTAAACAGACATTTGTTTTTTTCAGTTTGTCATGTAGTTGAGATTATTTAATGTTGCTGATCAGATTGGATTTAATTTGACCCAAAAGCATACATATTATAGACGACAGATAGTGTTTAATGGGTCAGTATGACCTGCAGTCCAAAAGGTATCTAAAGAACTGTTAATTCCAAACTCACGGTTTTCTTTCTTTGTCTTCATTTACAGCCAACTTGCAGGTAAATATACCGTGAAATTGGAGAATACAGAATATTAAGAGGAGAAAAACAGCATACATATATTCACATTATCATTTTCAATTCTAGATAATACAGTAACTGAAAATATCCATAACATAAGATATGCATTCTTTAAATTAACATTGTTCAGCTTATCAAACTGTAACCAGAGTTTCTAGGTCCAGTTATTGTTTGTATGTAATTGCATTTATTATGAACAGCAATTGCATTAGCTTATTAACAAATACAGTACTTCAGTTCTTAATTACTAAGTTTATTACATAATGTGTCATTACACCAGGTTGACCAAAATTCTATGGCTCTCTTTTACAAAAAAAGAGCACCAGGAACCCTATGTCTCTCAACAGGTGCAGGACCAGGAGTACACATAATGGGTATCATTAAATGCTTTTTATCTGGCTAAGGGGGTGCTTGTAGGACTGGAGGTTCTTGGGTTGCTCAGAGATGGAACTGGTGCTTGAGAGTCTCTCTCACTCTGGCTGGAATGCTGCCTGGAAGCAGATTGTGATGGCTGGGCAGAGGCTGGCATTTCCATGGTGCTGGGATCCAGGATGTGACCTGCTGAAACGATTCAAGTTAGAGTAGTGTAACAAGAACGTCTCGGGTTATGTATGTAACCCTGGTTCCCCGAGAAGGGGAATGAGAAACTGCGTCGGTTACGACACTATGGGAACGCCTCTAGGCGTAGCAGGTCTGAATGTGAATGAAATCACTCTAATCCTATTGGTTTGTTGCTAGAATGGTAAGGTGTGACGGAGGAGTATAAAGCACACCTGTACACACTCATCATTAGCTTAAACTATGAAGCAGGCGCTTCAGGCGGGGAGAAAGGTGCGGCGGGCCGACGCAGTGTCTCGTTCCCCTTCTCGGGGAACAAGGGTTACATACGTAACCCGAGACGTTCCCCTTCGAGGGAACTCGAACTGCGTCGGTTACGACACTATGGGAACGAGATACCCACTAAAACGTGCCGAAAACCCCGCCTGCCCCAGTGTGCAATAAAGTGGCACAACTAAGAGGAGAGCGCACGAGTGCCAGGTGCCGAAGGAAGGTCAAGACTGTAAAACCGAATGAATGTGTGTGGAGTGGCCCAGCCAGCCGCTACACAAACATCCTGCAAAGAGGCCCCGGAAAGGAGGGCTCGAGAGGCCACCATGCCTCTGGTAGAATGAGCCCTCACAGCCACAGGTGAAGGCAAACCGCGCACCTGATAGGCCAGGGAAATAGTCTGAACAATCCAGTTGCTAATAGTATGTTTGGATGCAGGGAGCCCAGCCCTGGGGGACCCAAAACACTCTAGCAGCTGGTCAGCCTTCCTCCAACGGCAGGACTTCAGAGTGTAAATACTCAGTGATCTGACAGGGCAGAGCAGATGAAGTCTCCCGTCCTCCGCCGTCACATGAGGTGGAGGATTAAATGCCTGCAGCACTGTGGACCCCGCTGCACAAGAAGGCACTTTAGGGATGTATCCTGGACGAGGGTGCAGGATAGCCCTAATATTCCACGGGGCAAACTCCAGGCTTTGCGGGGAAACCGAAAGCGCTTGGAGATCCCCCACCCTCCTCAGAGAGGTGATAGCAAGGAGAAAGGCCATCTTGAGCCTCAGCTGACTCCAGGTGTTCGAAGGGGGCCTCAGCCAACGCCCCAAGAACCACCGCCAGATCCCAAGTGGGAACCTTGGACCGAGTCGCAGGTCTCATCCTCCGGGCACCACGGAGGAAACGTACAACTAAGGGAAGTTTCCCCAAAGACCCCTCCCTCAGAGGGGCATGGAAAGATGAAATAGCTGCCACGAACACCTTGAGGGTGGAAGGGGAAAGACCAGCAGAGAAACTGGAGGAACTCAAGTACCTGAACCACTGGGCAGGTAACAGGGTCCACCGACCGCTCCCTACACCAAGTGGAGAAAACACTCCACTTCAGGCCGTACATCCTCCGTGTGGACCAGGCCCTGGAGCTGAGGAGGGTCTGCTCCGGCTGTTAGACCCGCCTCTAGGTACTGTGCCCCCTCAGGGGCCAGACCCACAGTCGCCATACGGCGGGGCAAGGGTGAAGAACCCAGCCCTGCGCCTGGGACAGCAGGTCTCTCCTCAGAGGGACCTGCCATGGCGGGCCGTCCAGGAGCGACATGATGTCCGAGAACCACACCCGGGTTGGCCAGAACGGGGCTACGAGCAGTAGGCCGACATTGCCGGACCCGCTCCAGAACCCCCGGGAGCAGAGTGACTGGGGGAAAAGTGTACAGATGTAGCCTCGGCCACGAATGTACCATGGCGTCCAGACCCAACGGGGCTGGAGGAACGAGAGAAAACCATAGCAGGCAGTGTGTAGTCTCTTGAGACGCAAACAGATCCCCGTCTATGGGGCCGAACTCTCCGCACAAGAGCTCCACCACTTCAGGGTGAAGTCTCCATTCCCCGGGCCTCAGCCCCTGCCTCGACAGCAGGTCTGCTCCCTGATTCTGTGTCCCCGAGAGATACATCGCCCTGAGCGATAGTAACCTCTGCTGGGACCACAGGAGGATCTGACGCGCCAGTCTGTACAGAGGGCGGGAGCGCAGACCGCCCTGGTGGGCCTAACTTCACCCCTTTCACGGCAGCCAATATGGTGTCGACACATGCCGGAGACAATTGTGCCCGCATCGTTGTCGAATCCCATACTACCCCTAGGAACGTAGTCCGTTGGGTGGGCGCCAGCACGCTCTTCTTTGCGTTGAGCCTCAGCCCTAAACGCAGCAGATGAGCCAGAACGACATCTCGATGCCGAACCGCCAACTCTCGAGACTGGGCTAGGATGAGCCAGATGTTGATGTAGTTGAAAATCTGGATGCCCTGGAGCCTCAGCGGGGCCAGTGCTGCATCCATACACTTGGTGAATGTGCGAGGGGAAAGTGCCAGATCGAATGGAAGAACCCGATACTGGTAAGCCACACCCCCGAATGCGAACCTCAGGAACTTCCTGTGAGAAGGACGGATGGAGACGTGGAAATAGGCGTCCTTTAGATCTATCGTGACGAACCAATCCTCGGATTGGATGTGCGTCACGATGGTGGGGATGGTGAGCATCTTGAACCTGAATCTCCTCAGAGACCGGTTTAGAAATCCGTCCCGAAATCCTCCGACAGATCATGCTGTGAACCCCATGAGTGAAGCCGCCGGGCCGCCTCAGCGGCCGCAGGGCCCACGTCAACAGGGAGAACACCTCCGGCCATCCTCGGAAAAGAGAGCAAAGGGCTTCGCAAGAAAAAAGCTAATGATGAGTGTGTACAGGTGTGCTTTATACTCCTCCGGTTATTCCGTCACCTTACCGTTCTAGCAACAAACCAATAGGATTGGAGTGATTTCATTAACATTCAGACCTGCTATGCCTAGAGGCGTTCCCATAGTGTCGTAACCCGACGCAGTTCGAGTTCCCTCGAAGGGGAACTGGGTGTTGAGTTTGCACGCATGCACTGCAAATAATTTATAGCTGAGAAGAAGCTTTTCTGACGAAAGAGTAGAGCTGAAGCAATTAGTCAACAAATTGAAAAGACAATTGATTGAAATTAATCTGCAACTATTCAGATAATTGATTAATAATATTAAGTAGTTTTAAAAGCAAAATGCCCCAAAAGTCACTAGTTTCATCTTCTCAATTGTGAATATGTGCTGGTTTATGTAATCTTCCATGCCTGGTTTTGGTTTTGGACTGTCAGTCAAAATAAGCAATTTGATGTTGAACAATGAGAAAAAAAGCATTTGATAATATTTTCTGACATTTTATAGGCCAAACAATGATTCACTTAATTGAAATAAATTAGTAGGATTAGCTGGTGTAAAAAAGTTTCAT